CCCGCCTGAGGACATCCGTATTTTCTGGCCTGATAACGCTAGAGAATTTTAGACGGTGAAATGTAGCAAAGAAGGCTAGTCCTCATTGCTCAGCGGAAGCCGCTCATCTGGGTCCCTTCGAACAATTCTTTTTGTCCTTATGGGGAAACCAAAAAAAATCCCTTAGGCATTTTCATTCCACACCTTCCCATCTCCGAAGGGCAGGGTTTCTCGTCTCCAGCTCCCCAGATCTATTTTCCTTCCTCCTTAGCAAATCTTGCCATATGCATGTCCTCACAACCCCAGTCTAAGCTAGTTCCCTTTCCTTTTTGCCACCAAAAGCACGCCAGGTAAATCCTAGGACTTTCATCGAGGCCACCTTCTCCGGAAAGGCCATCGAGGGCTGCCGGCAATCTTCCCGTTGCCTCTGAAGACTCCAAAAACGAAATCTGAATCCGTTATGCCGTCTCAGGGCAAAAACCTCGAGTCCGGAAGGTTTCGATACGTCCAAACGTGGGGGGCGAGGGTAGGGAGGACGACGACGACAGAATAGGAATGTGATTATGGGAAGGAGAATGGGACGATGAATAGGAATGTGATTATGGGAAGGAGAATGGGACGATGGGTCAATCATCGACTGAGATATCCATGACTGTCCAGGAAAGCCAAACCACTTAAGATTTCCTATTTGGCTTTGGAGATGTGGGCAGAGTGCACCGGCCAGTGTGGCGCGGGTACATGGCAGGGAGATCGATCGGGGCTGCTGCACCGGGGGTCTCTGTCCTCAAGCTCTCGCGCCCAGACCTGGTGACCGGCTGTCCCTCAACTGAGTTTCGGGTACTCACTCTGAGCTCCAAGGGATAAGGCCTTGGGAGGGTGGAAGCGGTCCAAGGCTTTGGGAGAACATCTCTGTCGGGCATGGGGTCTGTAGGTACATTACAAAACCAGAACCGAGAGCTGGGATCCCCTCCACGTGCATCCCACTCTCCACACAGACAAGGCCAGTGCGCCCCGCTGACCCCCGCAGCCTCTTCCACTTACCGCAGATCTTGAGTCCCAGTTTTCTGGTGCATCCATGGGCCACGCCGCACCAGGTGTCATATGCTAGGACGAGCGAGAATGAGATAGATGCGGTCAGTGCGGCTGGGACCAAAAGGGGCACAGTCAAGGGCAAAGGTTTTCTAGGACGGGAGGGGGGCGGCAGGGAGTTTAATGCTCCTCATTAAAAGCTCATTCCTGAAAGGAGCGGGAGCAGATTTGGGGCAGAAGAACAGACATGTGCCCTCCAAGGCCCCACCAGACTCCGGTCTTCAGGTGTCTCTCCGAGATTGGGCACCAAGCGCCCCAGTGGGACCCCAAGCGACCCCTGCAGGGGAGTCAGGGAGGCGGGGTCGTGAGGGGCGGGGCTGACTCCGCCAGAAAAGGACTAGAAGAGCGAGCAGCAGCACCCACCCACCGGGCCTGGGTCTCAGGTCTCCGCCCCTCAGGGCTACCACAGCAGTCCGAAAAGGGAACACAGAGACATCTGGGACCGAAACGTCTCATAATTTCTTGGCGGGTCTCCAGTCGAGTGGCAGCTTAAAATAAACTGGCATGAAATGGGGTCGCGGAAGAGTTCAGGAATTAATTGGGTGAAAAATAGTATTTGACTAGATGATCAGGCTCGCATGACTGCTCTTCAGTAGGACCCGGCGTCGGGAAGACAATAGTCCACATCCTGAGCTCATCTCTGGTCCTCCTTTTCAACCCGTACCCCGTTAACCCTCTCCGAGCCTGGGCCCCAGACGTTTTAGGTCTGGAGCAGACGAAGAGGAAGAGGAAGAGAAGCAACAACCTTCCCTCTTGGGTGGAACTGTGGACCTAGGGGCTGCTGCTGGATTTTCTTCTTTATAATGCTGTTTTCATGATCTACCTGCATTTGGGGTTCAACTTTCAGCAGTGAAAGAAAAGCAGCCTCTTGTCAGCGGAGCCCACATCTGGGTGGGTGTGTTGGCCTATTGCGAAATCGCCTACCAATTCCTCCATAACACGACGCCTCCAATCACTCCCCTCCCCCACTAAGCGCGAGTGCTGGCTGCGATAAGGAGACTGACATCCATTAAATCCGAGGCACAACAGAGCGCTGGCGGGGAAAGGAACCAACCCGACGTCCGTGAGACAGCAAGTCTCAGATGGGGTTCCTAGGACAGACAGGAAATCGGTGGGAAAGCAAAACACTATTAACAATACTTGGCGGGTACTGGGCTATTCGCTTTAAACCCTACCTTAACCCGCTGAAACAGGTAGGTGGGAGTGTTAACCTAAAACCTATGTAACAAACATCGACATTGAGGCGCCGAGTGGGTAAGTAAGTTTTCCAAGGTCACTCAGTTGGGAGGCTACAATTCAGACATATTGCATTGCCTTTTAGAATGGGGGGTGCAGAAAAAAGAGAGGGAAAGAGGTGTGGGAAGAGGGAGCTAGAGAGCCTCTACGATGTAGCCTTAAGTTCAGCGGGCCCGAGAGGCGGTAGGCAAGGAAGACTGAGTTCCTGAACCAGAGGGTCGCTGGAACTAGAGGCCAAGACTGTGTAGGTCTTTTGAGACCTCGGAGGGCCAGAGAAGTGGAGTCGATGCGCGAGGGAAGGCGGTCTACAGCGAGAGCGAAAGTCGGTACAGAGCAGGGGCTTCCGACTGGACGCTGGAGCTGGACTATTAGGGGGCAGATGGGGGTGATCCCTAAGACACGGGCTGCCTACTCTTCTGAGGCCCAGCCCTCAGCTCTCTTCTCTCCGCCTTGGCGTGCCTGGCCACGTGCGGATTAGAGTCAGTGCCTCTGCCAGGTCTTCGACCCGAGGCTGGGCGTATACAGCCCGCGGAACAGAGGGAGAAAGGGCTCGAGGATTTGTGAATACAACCGCAGCCAAGCTCAGCCGGGCAGCAAAAAAGGGGCGGGAAATGTAGGGAGGCCCGGAAGAGAAATCCATCAAGGCCAGAGCTGTTAGACAAAAGGCACGCAGGCCTCGCGGAGCTCCGGGCCTCTCTATCCAGTTCCCCAGCTCATGCCCAGTTCTCATGCCACCAAGCCTGGCGGCGCTCCCAACACCCTCTTTGTTGTGTGGGTAATTGTTGCCTGCCCCGAGGGGGTGGGGTAGGGAGGGGAGTCAACTCAAGGAGAACTGGAATGTGACGGGAGGATTTAAGACTAGACCTCCAGCACGGGAGCCATTGGCCGCGCCTAGGAGTTAGAGAGGAGGTGTACACGAGAAAAAGCCTCTCCACCTTTGTTGATGAAAATGGACATTTTTTTCTCAAGCTTGTAGAAAGCGACAGACAAGCACAGCCATAAGCCCTTCTTCTAAACACACACGGGTTCTATATCCTTTCTACACAGGAATTCTGGGGTCGTTACTGTCTGGAGCTGTTAGATTTTTGGGGAGGAGGGGGGAATGAAGACATTTCAATTTAATGTAGAAAAAGAAAAGCAATTCTCTCACTGCACGCCTTTACAGAGAGGTAGGGAATAAATCAATTAAAGACCAGTTCTGGAAAGGAGCTGAAGAACTAGCTCAGCTAGGAGGAGAGAATCGTAAACCCCCCTTTCATCTTTTATCTGCCCTCTCTTCTTCCCTCTTCCGGACGGACGTGTCACCTGCTGACAGGTCTTCTACTGGAGAGAAAGGACAGGGCACCTCTGTCCGCCCGCACTAGCTAACCTTCTAACCCCTCCCCGTTCCCCATTTCTCGCCACTTAGCATGCTGCCCACTCCTCTTTTTTCTTTTTCTTCTTGCCTTTAAGATGTAATTGTCTGAAATGTCGAGCTTCTGTCTCGAGTCGTTTTATGCACCTTTCCCGCCCCTGGCTTCTCCCTCACTCGTCAAAAGCTCGACGCAAATTTGGAGCAATTAGGGACCCTGAGTTTTCTAAAAGCTGCAATTAACGTCGAAATTTCCTCTGATTATAGACTTCAAGCACAGCACGGGGGAAAGCGGGGGGTGGGTCAGATCTTAGCTCAACGAAAGCGGGGGAGAGAAAATTTTCTATTCTCGCTGGGGCTCCCTGCTCCTCACACCTCCCCTTGCCCAGATTCTCGTTGTCCCACCACGCAAAGAAACGCACACATCATAACAAAACCAACGCTCAATGCCACCAGTCCCTCCCTGGCTGTAGAACCCCAACCAGCACTGCTGTAGCTACCCTGCGTGGCTACCGCTCTCGGGCGCCCTGGGAGCCGCCCGGCGTCTCCTGCAACCAAGTGACCTCTGGCTGAGCCCGGGTCAGCGCCCTATTTATTTCCTGGTCTCCCTTCATCACCTCCCGCTCTTTCTGCCAGCGCAGCCTCCCCAAATTCCAGTGCCCTCATCTTCCCCGCAGTCCATTTGAAGGGAAACTAGAACGGGACCTACTTGTGGGGCGCAGGTTGGTAGCACTGGGGTCAGCTCCCGCGTTCGAGGCGGCGGAGGACGAGGTAGGGGTCGAAGACGCCATCAGCCCGTTGGTCCCTAGGCCTCTGCTGTCCTGAATGTTCGGTGTGTCAGGCGCAGAAACCGGCTGTAAAGAGAAGCGGGAGCTATGCCTGGAGGGCTTGGGGAATCCAGAGCGCGGGAGACAGCTGAGCGGCTAGGGGTGCGGACACTCCCGCTGGCGACCCCGCCGGCAATAGAGAAGAGGGAGGAAGGCAGCGAGCTGGCGGGGTTGGGGTGCACCAGAGGGAGGGGAGACGTGCGTGCGAGCTCGGGGACTAGGGCGCTGACAACGTAGTCCAGCGTCTTTCCAGTCTGTCGGCGCAGCGGGGCGACCTGGAGCGCAGCGCTGGGATGAGGGGGGCCCAAGGCTAGTGAGGGTCACGAGGGTGCGGGGAACCGGGATAGGAGGGTGAGGAAGACTCAGTGCGTGATTTTCCAGCCAAACCGCGACAAGTCCCTTTGGCTCTTATCTGCTAGTCGACCGGCGGGAAGGCGAGGGGCGGGGGTGGGGGTGGGGAAAAGGCGCACGGGGCGGGCACGTCTGGTTTGGTGTCTGGTTGCCGTTGTTGTGTCTGGCTAATTCCCTGGAAAGAAGGACACTATATGCTCCTGGTACCGGGACTTTGGTAAGACAACGTGAGCGGAAAAAAAGGTCAATTCCTTTACGTTCTCTCTTGGGCTTGCCTGGGGAAGAGCCACGGTCACCCTGTACTCCAGACAGCTAGAAAACAGCAGGTCGGAACCCCACTCATCTCCTTCTCGTCCCACCCTGCTTTTAGCCATCTCAAAGCCTAGGGCGAGGCAGAGTCCGGGTTTCGGTGTGTTCACCTCCACCCAGTTTCTTAAGAACCCCATGTTTCTCGCCCTAGGGAAAGGAGGAGGCAAAAAAAAAAAAAGGAGAGGGGACAATCATCAGGGAAACGCGCCCAGCGCGCAGGAGGTAGCGGATAAAGAATGAACGCTGCCCAACGTCCCACTTGGACGCGCGGCTCTGGCGCGATGGCGTTCGAAAGCTTCGGGACAGAAACAGTGAGGGTAAATCTGGGTAGACCTAAGACCCCGCAGAGAAGCGTGATCTGGCTGCCGCCTCCACTAATCCCCCGCCCCACACTTAGCCACGCGCGCGCACTTGCGCGCAGCTCACAGTAATACGAACTGCCGGCAGGTCGCGGTTGCTGAGGAAGTAACAGGTTACCGCTCCAAGATGCGCCTATCTTTGCTGCTGCACCTCATCGAGATCGGCATTCTCAATCGGGAAGAGCAGAGGAAAATCGCTCTAGCCCCACTTGAGCGCGAGGCAAGAATCCCGAGGGCGGAGATAGGAAAAGGGAGGAAGGCGAGGGTCCCTGCGTCACGCACCAAGGGAAAGCCTGGGCTGGGGCCAGCGGGACGCACTCCCCTTGCTAGAATATAGGGGTGAGTGACCAAGGATCTACCGGCGAAGATGTCCTGACCGAATTACAAAGGTTGGGTGCTGGGAAAGTCTGGGCAGCGACGCGCTTACGCACCTAGACTCAGCTACCTGGAGCTAGGCGCGCCCGCCGCTTCTCCGCTCAGCGCTCAGAGATCCGTTCAATGAAGCTTGGTCGGATCGTGTCACAGGCGTAATTTGTCCAGTGTCACCTCCAGCTGCTGCCTCGCTCTTGCAAGCTCTGTCCCGCACGCGAGCGTCAAGAGACGTGAGAGATCCCGAGGCGACTGCTAGGCTTCGGAGGAGGCGGGGGAGGAGTGGGGAGGCGGGGACCCGCTCCGCGGGGAAATCACGAGGCCGCAGCTCGCGTGGGCCGCTCGTCGGTGAAGTGGCGAGGCGCTTTGCAGGTGTCTGACCGTCTCTGGAGCTTTATAGGGCGATTATAAATCCAGATCACGGTTTTGCGCCCGGAAAAAAGGGGGGGGGCCTGTGAGTAATCCAGCACTTACTCAACACGCTCTAATTTTTGAAATAGGCAGGGTGTCGGATGAGAGGAGTGAAAAGATAATTCCAAAGATTTCTGCCACGCTGCGCGGTTTTCCCCTCCTCCCTCCCTTCTCTCCTTCCCTTTTCCCCATCCCCCCATACCTACTAGATGACCAGGGCTATAGCTTTGCCTGAATCTTTTTCCTTCAGAACTGCGACCCCTCGATGCTTCCGTGAGTGAAAACGTGTCCTCGTTGGCTTCTCTATTGAGACAAAATTGTTGTCGAGCTAAAGGAGACAGAGAAGGGGGAGGGGCGTGAGGGAAGGGACACACAGACCCTAGAGAGATCTCCATTTCCTCATCCCGTTACCTCCTCCAACTGGGGCCTCTCGAAAGTACTTAGCAGTGCAGCCACCTCACCTGAACTCAATCACCTCACCTGAGCTCAGCCTCTGGCAGAGGAAAAGGTTCTGTTTTTCTTTCACTCCGTTCCCTGTCTAGCTCTGGCCCCTTGGTGGTAGGGAAAATGAGCCTTCCTGATTGATCGCCTCTGAAGGTTAATAACACGCACGAGCGCCACTCTGAACACAGCCGGAACCCGAACACATAGGTGACGCTGGGAGCTGCGTAAATGAAGGCGGACTGATCCTCCCGTCTTGGCCCACTCTTCTTTCGATTTCACGCGTTTTTAGGTTTCTCTCATTGCAATATTTAAGCACATTTATTTAATCAATTGTGTTCAGAAACACCCCTCATCACACACACACACACAAAAAGGCGTTCACGAAAAAAAAAAAAAACACCCACCAGAGGGCGCTAGACTCTCAGAGACTGAGAGGTCCTGCTCGCCTGGTCAACCAAGTCAACACCTGGATAGGCTGACTGGACTCTGTAACTCCTCATCCTCAACCATTCCTCAGCAATCCTTTTGCTCTACATTTTCTTTTCCTCTCCATCAGCTTCCTTTTCTTTAGGACAAAATTAAGTGAATTTGTCGGGGGCGGGGCTGGGGTGTGTGTGACACCGTTATAATCAGTGATTTCTTTCTTTACTCGTTTTCACAGATATTTCCCCCTCGTTGCGGTGCAGCAGGCTGCGGTTATTTATGGTACTTCTGGGACCTGATTGGTCCCTTCTCTTTGAATGAGTTATCGACTTTCACCATGAAACAGTGAAAACGCTAAAAATCTTACAAATCACTGAAAATTCCATAAAGGAGATTGAAGATGGTGCCCTGGGGAGATTAAGTTCGATCAGCAAGAGGTAATTCAGTGTGAGATTTTAAATAACCGTGTTGCCCTTGATATTAAAGAAAATACCGGCGCCTTCTCTTCACCCACAAGAAAATTCCGGGCACTTTTCAATGACACCAACATATCCTAAACCACACGAGCGGGATAATCGCAGCCCTTGGCACCCAAGTTCCCGAATGAGCAGGGTGGGCGTGGCCGCACGGTGCTGGAAACGTCCCTTAAACTACGCACTCGGCAGCTTCTCCAGGACGCTTGAGATGCACGATTAATCATCAAACAAAGCGCGGAATTTCACCTACGCCCCTTTCTTCCTAGAGCTTTGTCTAAAATACATTGCATCACACTCAGACGTGGAGTCCAGTGTCAGTGCTAAATCATTCAAAACGCGAAGGATATGGAGACAGGCGGGAGGAAGCTGTAATTCCGGCGCCCCTCCGAAGATATCTGTGGGTAGAAGATGTCCGTCCGCTCATCCTCCGTCTCTCCATCTTCTTCCAAGTCCTGAGAATCCTAGGAAAGGAAGATTCGTTTACTTCATCTGTGGCACCAGAGTGAGACAATTTCAGCCACTTCCTCCTCTGACCTCTGCATTCCAAACGCTCTTAAGATTTTAGCCAGGACAGTAATCTCAGTAGGGGTGGCGTGGAACAGGGGAGTTTTCTACAAGATTACCAGAAAACCAACCCCACGTCTCTCTAGTCAGTTCTTACTCGTTGTGGTCCGCAGAGAGGCTGGTGAGTTTGGACCTCCAACCTTGCAGTTAGCAGCCAACCACCTAACCCACAGTGCCACTAGGGCTCCTGTACAAGATTGTTGTTGTGTTATTTAGTGCCATGGCGATCTAGTATAGGGTTTCTGAGGACTGGCTGGTGGGTTTGAACCGCCAACCTTGCAGTTAGCAGTCCAGTGCATATCTTACAGCTCCACACCAGGACCCCCAGGACTAGGTATCACAAATTGAAACTGAGTGTCCCCTCATCTCTTTCTGCTTTATGATGGGGAGGAGAGGAGTGAAGGATCCAGTTGGTCGTTAATTTTTTAAATGTTTAATTGTTAGTAACTAACTAAACGACGATTTATTAATCACCTACTTTGTGCCAGACACTGCTCTCATGAAACTTACTTTGCTAGTGCTCTTTGAACTCATAAAATTGACATTTCACTTAGGCAGGGAGAGTGGCAGAGAGGGATCATGGTGGATTTAATTTATTTTTCCATTATTTCCCACTTCAACGCAGACTCTTCGGCTCAGCTGTGATGGTAAGGGACCAAGGACCTGGAATTCCACATATCGAACACCTAAGACGGAAACCCTGTACAGGGTCGCTATGGGTCGGACCCGACTCGATGGCACTTAACAACAACAACAACAACAAGACTGGGCCCAGAGGGTTCAGCACCATGGACAGCGCACACGGTGCCGGTCTACCTAACCGCCCTTTTGCCCGCTGTCACCCCCAGTTCTTTGCCAACTCTGTGCTTGTTCCGGTCCATCTCCCTCCCAGCAGAAAATGTTGTGTTTGTTTTGAAAGGTTAGAGAGTGGGGTGTTTTTTCTCCTCCGCATCCTGGTCAGAATTTGGGCTGAGAGTGGCTGTGGTTGTCTTTTGGCCCTTCAGAACATTTGGAATTTATCTTTTTGTTTGTTTTTCGTTCTTCTTTTTATCTTCTACCATCCCCGGGGAGTGGAGAGGATGTTTTGGACAATGAGGGTGGAAAAAAGAAATCATCTCCAGGGACTCGAACCGGAGGTGAAGGGTGGGCAGGAAAGGAGTGGTGTCCGCCCAGCTGTCTCGTTCGCATTTGATCTAAGGTTTAGTTCTTTGAAGAATTAGGAACACTATTCCGGAGGCAGAAGGAGGAGGGGGCGCTGTGCGACCCCTCCAGTGTTCCCCGCCCTTCAGGCGTTGCAGCTCCGGCTGCTCCATTCTGTCTTCTGAGGAAAACTTCCCTTAGGCCAAGGATGACTGAGACTTGAGAACATGACCGTATCCTACGATGCCTTTTCCCCAGAAGGTTTAAAGAGGTTCCAACCAGATTTGGGGCTAAACCTTTCCCGAAAGGAAAATGGAATGGGAAGTGTGTGGGTGGAAGGGGCGCCCAGACTGCGGGTGATGTTTTGACCCGTAAAACAGTAAAACATGGTTCACATCAAGGTGAATAGATCAGAAACGTCCTTTTTTTTTTTTTTTTACGCACTTAGCATTTTTAGCCTACAGGAAAGGTAATTTAGAACTACGGGGTTGGTTCATTTTTAGCTGGCTCTTTAAGGTCTATTTTAAGACTCTAATTTATGACCAAACAAGAAAGAGGCAGTGCTCACCGTTTAAACGTCTGCATCCTGAGGCGACGGTTGAGGGGAGCGCTGCTTAATTCGGCTTGATTCCTTCTATGTGTTTTTGCACTTCAAAACTAGTTCCCAAATTACTTTGTACTTTCTCTTGGGGGCCATAGTTAAATTGACAGCCCTAATTCTACAGACCACACAACACTCAGTCCAGGGACACAGGAAAGGAGGGGTTAAAAGAGTAGCAGGGGAGCAGGGTTCTAGCCAGAACGCTAGATAAGGCTCCGGAAATTACAATCGTTTTGCCTAAAGAAGATAGCTAAATTTCTCAGATAATAGTCAGATGGCGCCTCTTCCCTTGATAGTTATAAGATGAAAACATTCTAATATTAAAGAAATTAATCAAGAAGGACACAGTGATTTGTATTTGGGAAATCTTAAGACAAATCTCAATTCTTGCTGTTCCAAACGTGAGGAAAAATTACCACCAGGTGGCGATAGATAACAATATCTGAGAAGAAATAAGGGGCCCCCAAGGGAGCATTTTTTTTCAAAGAAGAACGCAAGCGCTTTCCAGTTCACACCCATTCTGTGCCATATTTCACAAAACAGCGTAGCTCTTGATACTGAGAGACGCTGCCTGAGGTGGCCTGAAACACCAGGGCCTGTTCCTTCAGTGAATCAGAAGGGGATGCACGGCATTTATTTCTCACATAGCTGCAGAAGGGAACCCTTTTATATTAGGCAAGAACTTGTTTCACTGTAAAATTGAGGTCAAGGAAATAACAGATCTGGATGGCAATTCTGAACAGGGAGCTTTAGAGATGTATCTGTGTTCTCTGCTGTCCTGTCACCAAAAACTAAGGCAAAATCAACCCTATCTTCAAAGAATGGTATGCAAGAAAGATCGTTTCCCGAACACAGGAGATGCGTTAGTAGAATAGAGAATCTAATGGATGTCTAATTCTATTAACATTTTATCCACTTATTTTAGTTAAAAAATCTATTTAAAACAATAACCCATTTTCAGATTTAGGTTCTGTGACTGTTGTGTATGAGAAGGTCTGAAATTTTCTGACTTCTTGTAAGGAATGATAAACTTCAGACAAATATCCTTACCTAATCTTGGTCAATTATGCAGAAGAGAAAACTAGAGCCTTAACAGGAAGGGTTCAATATTGTCACACCAGCCTAGTCCCCTTTATGCCAAAAACTAAGAACTCAGTGGAATTTATTCCATTCCAATGTTCTTACCAGTGCCATTTACAGAGCAGTACCATGGAATTTTTCTAAAGCATTTACTCATCCACAGCTCATTCTTTGATTTTACCCTCCGCTGCAAGCCTGAGGTCCTGTTTTGTTTTGTTGCCCGTGGGTGAGCCATGGATTATTTAGATACATTTAATTTGGAGTCCTGATGTGGCACTGCGGGTTAATGCGCTAAACTGCAAGGTTTGTGGTTCAAGCTCACCAGCTGCTCCTTGGAAACCCTATACAGTGTAGCTACGGATCGGAATCAACTCGATGGCACTTAACAACAACTATTTGAAATCTCA